CCCCCCATACACATGAGAAAATACCCCCCCACACATTAACAATAGTGAAGGGCTCGGGTGTGTTCGCAGCTCCACGTGCCGAGCCCGCCAGGAAGCTGACAGTGCAGCAGCGCCAATCACAGGTACTGATACATTTTCCGATCTTTGCAGCTGCGGACCGGGAACCGAGTACCTGACTTCTGAGCTGGCTGCGGGTCACAAAGTACCGACTCGCGGGCCGGTACATTGAGACCCCAACATTTTTGCCGCTCCCTTGGAATCTGCCGCCCGAGGCAAACGCCTTCTTTGCCTCGCGGCAGATACGCCCCTGAGTGGGGTTGTATTTAGATGTCAAGATAGCATGTGTAAATTTAAGGTTCTAATTGTATTTTTGCAGGAGAAGATTGGGTGGAGGAATGTCACAAGGCTACTGGTATATGCTACTGATGATGGCTTTCATATTGCTGGAGATGGTAAACTGGCAGCTATACTAACCCCAAATAATGGAGAATGTCACCTGGATGAAAATATATACAAGAAGAGTAATGAGTTTGTAAGTTTGTATTTTCTTTCCCCACTATAGCCCATGGCAGAAAGCATCACTGATCATAAAAGCTCTGCTGACTAAACAATAAAGCTCAAGTTCACCTGCTTTTTCAATTCCTTGTAAAATAATTGCTACGCATCCTTAATTTTTTTGGTAATGCACACAGAAAAACAATCCTGCTGACGTGCACAAATAAAACTTGACTGTAATCGCAAGTGCCGCATAAAACAGACCAATGATAGGAACAGTTTATCCTGGATAGTAGGAAAATGGGATGCCCTACCCTTATAGTACCAGAATCTTCAAATATTTGATTGTGTCAAACAAGAATTACATAGTAAAACTAGAGCTGGGGTAATGGAAAGCTAATGCCTCTCCAAAATGAATTGTCTGCTCTCCTATATATATCCTCATTAGTGATGGGCCGAACACCCCCGTGTTCGGTTTGTATTTGAACGGCCGAAAAGTTTGAATACGAACTCGAACCTGATACAAGTCAATGGGGGTCAAACTTTTGAAAATAATTGTCCCCTTTAAGAGTGCTTATATGCAAGTTATTGGCCATAAAAGGTGTATGGGGGTACCTGCTCTGGGGGACAGTAACCAATGAAAAAACAAACAAACAAACAAAAAAGTTTTGAAAGGAACAGAGATTTTAACATCACTTAAAAGGGTAAGAATAAAAATGTCCTTCAAATATGGTGCCTGGGGGGGTCCCCTTAACTTGCCTGTGAAGTGGCGGATCTGTAGGATGTATAGAACCTGCTGAAGCAAAACTGACATTTCTATTAAAAAAAAAAAGTTTTTTTTTTTTACTCTGAAAGTGTGCAGTTCCCCCTCCCAAACAATACCAGACCCTTTAGGTCTGGTAGGAATGTTAGAAAGGATAATTTTTTTTATTTTTTTTTAAAGCGTAGGGTTCCTCTTAAAAGTCATACCAGACCCTTAAAGTCTGGTAGGAATATTTAGGAGGGACACCATGTAAAAAAAAGCGTGTGGGGTTCCCCCTCAAAGTCATACCAGGCCCTTAAGGTGACAGCTAGCCCCGCCCAATTGTGTAGTTTGCCGGCATCTGAGAGGCGAGACATGATTGGGAAGAGTCGTCATGACTTTGCCCAATCATGGCTGCAAATGAGTACTGAGCCCTGATTGGGCAAAGTCTTGTACCTGACCTTTGGTCAGGTGCAAGTCTTTAACCAATTAGAGCTTCGGAGGGCTCTTTGCAGTATGGAACGTTGCGCGGTCGAACAGACCGCGAACATACCATAAAGTTCGGCGGACGCTCGAACAGCCAATGTTCGATTCGAACTTGTGTTTGAATCGAACCGGCGGACCATCTCTAATCCTCATATATCTATAGCATTTCCTATGATTTCTTCAGTAGTAGGGATGCCGAACCTGTACTTCACAGCATAATTGACTTTCAGAAATATAAATATAACTTTATACGGGTGACAAGGGAAACCAAGATGGTAACAGAACCTTGATAGTAGGGATCCTACAGCGGCTTGTATTGAAACTAGAACTTTGATTTAGCTACAAATTGGATCTGTCACCACCATTGAGTTAATTTGGCTAAATTAATAAATGTAAACATCTAAATAAACCCAGCATTTCCCCCATAAAGCTCACAGGCACTTAAATAAAGTGTTCTTTAATACAATGCCAACTCACATAGGGCCCACTCATCCTCCTGACCAGAACAGTGCTAGTATAGACCAGTGTTCCTCAACCTTCTTTGAGTCACCGCATCTTTTAAACATATGCAAAATCTTGAGGCACACCAGTCTAAACTGTAAAAAATGTAAATGTAAATAATGATGAGTAGTTCCCTCCCAAAATCTATACCAGATGCTTATCATAGATAGGGGTCTAGTATAGATTTTAAGGGGGGACCCCACACAAAAAAGAGAGAGATGTAGAGTTCCCCCTTCATATCAGAGACCCCCTTTGACATAAGGAGCCCCACTTTACATTAGAAGCCATCTTCCCATCAGGGGCCTCATTTGCATCAGTGCTGCCATATAGTCTTTGCCACAATGTGGCTGTGGGAGTAGATCTGGATGGAGGTGGACTTCTGTCCTCTTCTGAATTCTGGGGAGGTCCTGGATCCAGCTGTCCTGGATTAGCATCATGCATGTTCATGGTGCTGTTGGCCAGCTCGCCTGCACCATGGAAATGCATGATACAGTGTGGACATTTGAAGGCACCCCTGACAAAGCCAGAAGACTCCCCAGTGTGCCACGGCACCCTGGTTGAGAAAGACTGGTATAGGCACATCGGAAAGAGTACAAAGAAAAGGATTACAAGATGTCTATTTTAGTAGGTGGCATGTCAGAAACGTGGGCTTGATACAATGCACTGAAATACTTGCACATGACCCACCAGAGATAATCAGTCTAACTACAGAATATTAAAATTTAGTGGAGATGAATATACCTAAAATATATATAAACTAATGTAATAATTTTATACGGCTCTTTTATGTATCTCTGCTAAGTGCATTCAGGAATCTTGCTTACTGTAACTTGTTAAAAGCAGTGAATTAACCATGCATTAAGCGTTATGCGCTGCAACTGCAAAGACACCATTTGTTCTATTAATAGCTATAACATTTTCACATTTGTCATTTAAAGATGACATTGCTGCTTGATCTGACAGCAGACATATTTAAAGACCCAGAATGTCTTTTTAATGCATTCCATTTTAGAATGAGATAGATGTGAGTAATAATCTCATGACTGAGCGGAATACAAATTATTTTGAGTTATGATTGCTGTATATGCGTAGATTTGTTATTAATAACGGAAGATTTTCCCTGAATTGTTACATTACAAGACTTCCTGCATTTTTTTTTTCTTTTGTCCTGATCGAATGGCTTACAGTCAGTAATATGTAACAAGAATAATGATCAGTAATCCTGACATTTCATTCTCACTTTGATTTGCTGCATACTTGTTTAGGGTCTGTGACTACAAGTATTGAAGTTAGACACAGACAGGCACATCACATTTTCAGAAGGAGATGAGCAATGGCATCTTTCATATTTATTACAGGTTTACTTTAAAGGAGAACTATGGGGTCAGGGGTTTTCCCCATAGTTCTCCTTAGGGTAATGGGAGGACACAAACTAGCGTCCTCCTGTCACCTTAAGCTCAGTATACCGCGAGCTACAGCTCACGGTATACTGAGACACCGCAGCCGGAGCGGATCCCGACATCGATGTCGAGATCCGCCCAGCTGAGTGAGTGACAGCTGGCTCTGCCTATCTAGAGGCAGAGCCAGCTGTACCCGCCCCCTCCCCCGTCCGTTCCGCCAGTCAGCGCTGGCGGATCGGAGCGGGGAGGGGGGAATCCATCCCCTCCCCTGTCACGGCAGAGAGCCGTGACAGGATCGAGAAGTGAGCGAACACCAGCATGTGCTCGCTCACCTCCCGATCTACTGAGCCGACCTGTCTCATTGTCACAGGTCTGCTAGTGAGTGAAAAGCACTCACCTCATAGTTCTCCTTTAAGCTTTAATGCTGGATGGATGATAATGATAGGATTATTCATTTTTTTGCAAAAACAGGAACGTTGGGTCTTGGCTTGCAGACCTATTCATTTAATTGAAAAACCCTAGGAGCACCTCCTATGCTTGCTATTAGTATCGGGGCTCCTTTACACCTATGCGCACTTTACATGTGTTTTTTACGATGTGTGTTAACAAAACAATGAGTGCTATATGTGCTTTGCCGTGTGTTGCCACTTATTTTGAATAGTAGCTCAACACACATAAACAATGCAGAGAAATGCATGTGTCCATGCGGTGCAGTTCACCGAGGCAATGCATGAAAACTGTGTGAAGGTGTCCTCAAGGTTGTATATGCACTAGTCTAGTTGAGAACTTAGCTGTATCTATTAGATTGTACCATCTATCTTTTGTAGTAATGTGCACACCAGTTTGTATGCCACCAGTATGTTTTTTCACTGTGTAAGCACCTGGTAAAAAATATATAGACTGGTATTTGAATTGTTTTAAATCAAATACAGGGGCTATATTATTATGAGGCTTGCAATTGATACTCCCTTATGAGTATCAATTGCAAGCCCCATAATATAGCCCCTGGATATTTGAGTCCAGGTGGTTTTCTTCTTTTTTAATCCATATATTCATAATCCACACACTGTGCATCTACCCTTTTAAATATTCCACTCAAATACATTCACCTAACTCTCCTGCATTCAGTTTACTGACTGTTAACACATTTATGAAGCTTCTTTTAAATGGTATATTTTGTACTCTGAAACAGGACTACCCTTCGGTCGGACAGTTAGCCCAGATGCTTTCGAAGAATAACATACAGGTTGTGTTTGCAGTCACTTCCAATATGGTTAAAACATATCAGGTAAGGGACTGTAATATAAGTATACAATTAAAAGTAAGTACAATATAATTTAGCTGCCACAGACAGTTGCAGCTTAGAGAAACTGTGCAAATACGTCTACTATAGCCAGAGAGAAGCAGCTGATAAAGCAGATCTTCTTTGGGGGTCCCCAGGTGACATTAGGGGTCTTATAGACCCCTAATGTCTCCATAAAGAGTACCTGTCAGTGCCCATGTACTATCACATAGGGGGATTGTTATACCCCTACCTGATAACAATAACATTAAGTGTAAAAAAAAAGTAAGAAAAATTAAAAGTCAGATGTAAAAAAAACAACAAAATATTTTACCTCCCCCACCCCCACGTTTACGCACATATAAACGTAAAAACACGTCAGATGCGCCAGCACGCGAAAACGACAATTGCGCTACACGTTACATATTGCCGCGAACGTCGGAGTGAGAACAATAATTTTAGGGCCATCAATCACTGATAACACTAAACTGATGAGCGGTAAAAGCTTTTAAAGCGTCGCCTATGGCCAATTTTGGGTATTGTGGTTTTTTTTAGGTTTTGCACGTGCCCGCAATTTTAAGGCTTGACATGTTTGGTGTCTTTTTACCCGACATGACCCCGCCTTTTATATGTTACCAAAACAATTGGGTAATAATAAATGTTTTATAATTTCATATAGTGGAAACCGTTTTGTTTAGTTTTTTTCTGTAATTTTTCCTTAATGTAGTAAAAAATAAAAACCCCAGTGGTGATTTAATACCACCAAAAGAAAGCTCTATCTGTCCCCAAAAATGGTATAAAATTAATTTCAGTACAGCGTTGCATGTCAGAATAAATGTCAGCCAAAGTACCGCTGTGCTGAATACTGAAAAATTACCTGGACAGGAAGGGGGTTTAAAACCACGGACTTCAAGTGGTTAAAGTGATCTAAGTGCAATTACTGTACCTGTAATCCTTATTTCGACAACCCCTGAGCTTTCTACCCCCTTTCCATTCTTGAGACCCAGATTGTTTTTTCCTTTCATAGATTTCTCTGTTTCATAGCATATTACTTAGCTTTGGTAGTCTGTCCTAACATGTTATATATTTTTTTTTTTTCAGACAGGTAAGGCTCTATCTTTATAGCCGATCTAGAAACACAAATTTTATTTCCTAGGATTTAATTAGGTAAAAATAGGGAAAATTAAAAAATAGTTCTGTATATTTTCCCAATGCTATGTTTTCATAATTTATGCAGCTTTGGATATTAACCCCAAACTATAATGCTGCTGACCAAAAGGAGACCAAATAAGTGTGATTCTTATTTATTATTGCAGTATGGTTACACTCAAATTTAAAGTTTGCTTTTCATTTGGCAGAGCTTTTCCCCCTTTTGATGTTACATTGTGAAGCACACCTTGATGAATTGATTGCTGTAATTGTTAGTATAACATGTCCAGTTGGGTATTTGTAGGCAAAAATTAAGATGGCAGTGAAATGTTTACTGGTCCGTGATTATTAACAATGAGAGGAGGGCTAGCAAGTTAGCAGAATATAGGGGTCTCTACAGTTTCTAGTGGCTGCCCATCTGCTCCCAATTCCTTAATTAATTGTGCACCAGCCACACGCTATTTTCATGGGGATTTCTATATATGCTTACAAACATGGTAAAGACATGGGGCCAGCTGTTTTGGTTCAACACTGTTCATACATATAATAAAGGCAATTAAAAATATTTTAAACTGTAAACCTCTATATAGCATGGTGCGTAGAAGCTCTGTGTGATTGAAAATCACAGTAATCCAACATTATGACTTGCATATAAAAAAATAATAATGATAGGGTTTGCCTAAAAGCTTTAACAGCAGTAAATAACTAAGGACATATAAAAACATAAAAGGAACTGGAGCCAAGTAGAATAAAAGTGTGGATTTTATAAGATAATTGGCCTGTGCATAACCTGTGTTCAATTTAATACAGAATTTGTCATCTGAAGTTATTCTGGATCACGGAGTCACACCTGACTCCTTGGATATACTATATGATTCATACTGCTCCAATGGTGTCAACAATAAAGACGAATTAAAAGGAATGTGCAGCAATGTCAAAATCAATGAGGAGGTAAGCAAAGGGCACTAGATGCTTTCCAAACAAGGTAAAGCATCTGAAGATTATACACTCAATTTCATTATTTCTGTAATAACTACATCACACATCACTTGTGCTTCCACTATATGTTTGTTACTGTTGTGTATTTCTTTTTAAGATTTTGTTATTTTATCAGTGAATCTATCACAATAATAATATAATTTCTTTTAGATAACTGTAGGGACAGAAGGTCCCTACATACAGCTTTTTTTATCTTTCAAAGTATTTTATTAATTTTCCAAAGTAGAATAAAACAATAAAATAGCACATTATGCACAATCAGTATAGCATACAATCAGGAGTCCCATCGAGACATATCCTCCCGGAGTTGGTGAAACAGGGGTATATAGTTTTTCTTATATAGTTGTAAAAAGACAGGTGTAAGTTTAATCCCTAGATATTGCAAAGCCTCCGTGGACCAGGTAAAATCAAAATGTTCCGACAACCGAGCCCACACTTCCTGTAGGATATTGATATTAAGAGCCAATGATTTGGATACCACAGCAAATTGAGTCAACAATGACAGGACATTAGGAAGTGTGGTCAAGGGTGAAGTGACAAACAGGAGCAAGTCATCCTCAAATAAAGCACACTTATGCTCCTGCCCACCACAACCCACTCCCTTAATATTAACATTAGCACGGATCACAATCGCTAGGGGTTCTATCGCTAATGCAAAAAGCAGTGGGGAAAGTGGACAACCTTGACGTGTGCCTTTAGAGATAGCTATGGAATCAGAGATGTGGCCCTGTAGCCTAATTTGTGCTGACGGAGTGGTGTATAAGGCCCGCAACATATTCAGAAAGAGGGGGCCGAAGCCCCATTTCTCAAGCAGCTGGAAAAGGTATTGCCAGGACACTGAATCAAAGGCTTTTTGTAAGTCTATAGACACCAGAAGCCCAGATTGTGGTTGCCCTCCATCCCACCCTGACTGCAACAGGGTGATAATATCAATGGCCCTTCTAATTTGATCGGGGCCTTGCCTACCCCTAATGAAGCCCACTTGAGACTTATGAATATAGGATGGTAGGAAGGAGCTCAATCGATTAGCAAGAATTTTAGTTAGGAGTTTTAAATCATTGTTTATCAAGGAGATCGGTCTATAGTTGGAGATTTCCCCCAAGTCCTTGTTGGGTTTAGAAAGAACTATAAGATAGGCCCTATTTAAATCTGTGTGTAAGGGACTCCCCCGCCTCACTTCATTAAAGAATCTCTCCAAGTGAGGCACCAAGACATCCGAAAACTTCTTATAGTATAAGGCAGGCAGTCCATCCGGACCCGGAGCCGATGACAATTTTGCCTGCTTGATAGCTTGTTTAATTTCCAATGCCAAGATGGGTGCTTCCATAATCATGGAATGATCCAATGACAGGGATGGAAGGTGAACCTCACTGAGAAATGATCTCAATGAATCAGATGAAACTGGAATGTTATCCTGATAAAGTTTAGTTAAAAAACTAGTGAAATTCCTGAAGAACAGTTACTGGATGTAATGAGTATGCACATACATACAGCTTTTTGTCTTGAAATCTCTCCAGGAGCCCCCAAACCCTGGCACAGCTGGTCCTCCAATATCCTGTCAACTTTCCACAATGTAATGTGGGATCTTCTCTATATATCCTATGGGCTATTAAAAACTCAGTCAGGCAGTCCTGATGCAATGTGCCATCCATTGAGGGTCCTTTTCCAACTCACAGTGAGAGAGGTAGTAAAGAATCATGTATGAAGAAGCTGCAGTCTTACTCTGCTACATGTTTGAGAGCCTGAAAGACCAAAACTTACATTTTGTGATTAAGTTAAAGTGCAATAGCCCTGTTCTGTTCTTAGTAGAACCATTAGTTCTAAGAAATTCCAAAAACCTTTCTAAATACCATTTTTTTTTACCATTACTACCTCCGGTGGTGGGGCATTCAGAGGTTTAAATATTCTTAAGCCCTTTGTATACCAGCGGTAAATGTCCTATTCCTACAACTAATGCCCCCTTGTCTTTGGGATCAATGGTGAATCTTCCAAATCAATGTTGGCAATAAATATATATGAACACAATTATCTCACTGTTTTCGCCCTGTTAACATAAGTGTGACCTCCAATGCTTTATATACAGTATTTTATTTAGTTGCAAGCCTTTTGTACCATTTACAAGCCTCAAGGTCTTATAACATAGGGCCCAGAACTACATTTCTATATTCAAGATGTGGCAAGTCATTTATTTTTGGTCAATCAATACTATACTTCCAATTACCATAGCTTGGCTTTCTAACATTTATTAACATTAAATTGCATTTATCATTAATCTGCCCACAAAGCCAATGTATGTTTTCTTCTGTAAAATGTCTGCTGAGTTTTAGTTATTCTACATAATTTTCTGTCCTCCACGAAAACTTTAATGAAGTTATCAGAAAACCAAAAGGTCAGCCCCAGTCTATACACTTCAGACCTCAGATCAGCCCTAATTCATATACTTCAGACCTCAGATCAGCCCTAATCCTTACACTTTAGACCTCAGATCAGTTTCAGTCCATACACTTTAGTCTTCAGATCAGCCCCAGTGCATGTATGAACTTTATGGGGTTGATTTACTAAGCACATAAACACGCCATGAACACGCCATGCAAAAACACGCCGACTGTGCGCGCATGCGCGCATATACGCTTGGCGCAGAAGCGTATGCAGAAGCGTGATTCATGGCGTGTTTATGTGCAGATGCTTGATAAATAGCACAAACACGCGCGCATGGCGTGTTACATTTCCAAGGATTCAATGGGGATGTGCAACAACCATGAGTATAATTCCCTGAGGGAAGCCCAGTGGCTCAGGGGTTAGAGCTACTGCCCCACAGCACCCATGTCCCTGGTTCAAATCCTGCATCAAGTGAGTTGCATTTATCCACATACAGCAATGCAAATATCCACCCAAAAATCAAAACTGTTGAATCTACACACCCAAAAATATAGTAGTAGATATATGCCTACACCACCAATCGAAATGTGTACATTATTTATATTCTGCTGTGACTGAGTTCAAAATGTTACATATTCACCTGCGTAAATTCTGCGCACTAGTAATCGTATCGTGCGCATATATATTCTCATCTTGCGCGTTTATTGCGCTCATATCCAGGCATGTACATGCTAATACATTAAAAACATTTCATTTTGACAGTCTGCACAAGATGAACCCCCAATCCATACCAGGCCCTTTAGGTCTGGTAGGAATGTTAGGAGGAACCCCCCC